CTCTGAGGCTGAGTTTGCTTGACAGAATGTCTTTACATGTCAAGAGATCAACAACCTTTCTTATGTCCTCCTCAGTCACCTACACAGGCCCCTGATTGCTGTTCAGAGGAGACATGCTCTGGCATGGCTGTATCAGGCTGGTCTGGTGAGCATACAAAATGAGATGAGAGGAAAGTGGCATCCATGACTGTTGGAGAGAGCCTATTTAACAGTCAGAAGAGCATGTTTTTCCATCAGATGTCTCCAGGTCTAAAGTTTTCAATAACTTAGAACTGGGAAAAGCCACATTGATATGTCAAGGGTAGACCAGAGTTTTCTCCTGCCAAAAAGACACTTTCTCATCCCTTCTCGGAGGCAACAATAACATAAAATCAACTTCCTAATGGTACACTATGAGAGAAATGATGGAAATTATACATCTTATTCACAGGCAACGTTCAACTAGTATCTCTACGACACATCTCTGTCAGCCAGAATAGCTGCAGGGAAGACTGATCTTTCCCCCTCTTGGGTCAGTCCTAAGATTTGGGAACTGCAGTATGATTTTGTCACAGAGTACTCTGAGATATCTGGAGCCACTTTACTCATGTTCCATCTAGGTGATGGGTCTTTTTGGCTCTGGAGAAGTGGCCCAAACCTCCCTAGGTTAGGTGAAGCTCAAGCAATCTTCTGAGTAGTAGCTTCTTTTTCTAAAGCTCATACAAATAAAAAATTGGCCAACACTGTAGCTCTGTTCAGAAACAATATTCAAGTTCTTCTCCTTTCATGCAACTCCACTCTCTGCCTGATGAACTTTGGTGGTATTCCAATGTTCTTCATGCACATGGTATCTTTAGGCCTATTATAAGACAAGCAGCTGGCTTTCCTGAGATTCCAGCATACATTCATGGGTAGCACTATGGCTCTTCGATGTTGACAGACTTCCTTATTTTCTCTGCAGTAAGGGTCTTCCTATAGATACTGCACAAGTTCCTTACTGCTCTACAACATTGGATAACATCTGAGTCAGAATGATGAGTTAAATCACTGCCTCCTTCCTACTTAGTACATGTGTGATTTTGAACAAGTTCCTTAACCCCTCTAAGCCTCAGTTACTCATTCCTAAAATTACATTTCATAAATATAATATTGGCACATTCCTAACAGGGATATTGTGAAGATAAAATGAAAACTTATGTAAAATACTTAACACAATACTTCTCATATAATAAATTAGTTTTATCATCATCATCATCATCATCATCATCATGGCCAGTGTCCATACATGTACATCAAGGTACACATTTGGGCATGTATATTTATACACACATATATGGAACACACTGAATGTTGACAGAAATATAAACAGTCATTTCCCCGGCATTTAATGTAATCAGAAGTAAACCAAGATAGGGAACATAAGAAGAAAAGCCAGCTTGTGGTGAAAGCACAAAAAAAGAAAAGAAAGATGATGACAATGGAGTTTGGGGCCCACTGGGTGAAAGCTCCTAGAAGTATCCAATAGGCAGCTGGACTTCTAGGTTTGGATCTAGATGTCAGGTCTCAGGGAGCCTGACTTAAGAGTTATGAGTGCCTGACTAGTGGTTAAGTTGCTGAGAATGGAGAAGATACTCAAGAGAGCCTACAAAGTGAGAAAAGATCTGGACCTCTAAAGAAAACTTAGGGAAGAGCAACATTTACGGGAGAGGAAATAAAGAGCATCCCTTTGTAAAGGGCTGAGAATGAGTGAATGTTGTTGTGTGGAATCCGAGGAAAAGATGGGTTCAAGAAGGATGGAATGGCTACAAGCATGAAATGATGCAGAGAACACAGGAGGAAATAAACATAAAAGAAACAACCCAGGGGAAAAACTAGAAAGGTTCAGTCGGGCTATTTGAGGTGTTACTTTAATTTTATTGAGGCAATTTCTCCATTCTCTAATTGCATAAACACTCATGTGCCAACATGTGTAAGACCACATGCTAATTGTGGAAAAATTATAATTAATGAGACATGTAAACATACACAGACACAAAACAAAATGAGTCAGTGTTCGTTCTGCCACAAGCTCCCTCTATCCTCTCCCAGGAAGTAACGAATGGGTGATGGGAACAAAGCAGGTTAAATCTGAGATCCAGTAAGGAATTTGTCCTTGCTGATGGGAAGAGCTATTCTTCAATGCAAAAATTAACTCTGTGGTGGTCAAGGTTGCTGCCCATATTTAGAGGAGTCTACCTACTTGAGGACAGTTGGAGACTCACAGGGAAGAGCATATGTATTTGAAGGACAGTATGGACCTTGTGTCAGGCAGCTCTCATGCCTTATAACAGAGAGCACTCATTGGGATGGTGACACTGTCACCAGGAAGAGTCTGTCAGAAGTCATCAGGTATAGAACTGAACCAATGAATCTCAACTAGGAGATTCACTGACAGAGAACACTGACAAATGTCTGGAGACATCTGGGGTTGCCATGACTGGGCTAGGGCATGAAAGAGTTTCTATGGATAGAGGCAAGTAACAAACTGTTAAACATCCTACAATGTGCAGGACAAACCTCCCCTCCCCCATAACTGCATAAGGATTATGCAGTCTAAAATGTCAATTGTGCCTAGGTTGAGAAACCCTGTACTGAAATAATGATCCAGTTTTAGTTTATCACAAGTACTTTCTCTAAAAGCTTACATTTACATTTTATCATTTGCAAATTAGTTATGCATTCAAAACCTTGTTACTCATATGTTGTAAAATAAGCAGAATGATAATTTTTACTCCATCTTAGAGTTGAGGAAACTGAAGCTTTCCAGAAATTCAGTTCATGCCCCCTCATCTCAGTAGCCCTTCTACTAAGTGAAGAACAACTATTTTATCTGCAAAAATAAAGCTTTCTAGACTCTATAAAAAATAACAGACTGAGTTGGTTTCTCATCCCACATAAGAGCTACATCCTATAATTTAAGACCTTTAGACATTTTACTAGCAGGTCCTATGAGGGAAAACAAAGCCTCAGAAGTCTTATATAAGTACTCTTAGGTCCCCAATGTCACTAAAGTCTACCTTTAACTCTGCTGCCCTGAGAAGCACAAGAAAGTTGATCCTGATATTTGTAAGTCATGACATGTGTCTATTAGACATGTTTATTAAACATGAATTGGTTTGTGCCTGGATATGCCTTGCTATGATATAACCCAGGCTCGGTCAAGGGAGATGGATATATGGCTCATCTTGGGGCCAAAGAAAGCTGCAAAACAGTTTATAATGAAACCCAATCTCATGTTTGAAGACACTGAGCAATATACACCTAGTGACATCACATGTTTTGTTTACCAGCAAAGCTAATCCCACTCTACACACAAAAAAATCATGTGTGGGAAGCAAAGCACCCAAGTCTACCAACTTGGGGTCAGCAACTAGCCAGGAGAAACATTCTCCAGGAAACTAGGAATCCAGGGATTCTCTTCCTCAGATCTCTCAGGACAAAAGGTGGCAAGGCCAAAATGATTTTACAAAAATTCTTCAGAATCTTGGGAGAGAATGTCTTCTTTCTACCAAATTTGTCTTATTAGTCTCTTTCATGAGACTAATAAGTCTCACCTCTCAAAAAAAATCATCTTGGAGACAAAGAGATCTTGACACCTAAAAATCAATGCTTGGAGCACTTAGGTGGCTCAGTTGGTGCTGGACTCTTGATTTTGGCTCAGGTCATGATCTCATGGTTTGTGGGTTCAAACTCAGTATTGTACTGTCAGTGTGGAGCCTGCTTGGGATTCTCTCCCTCTCTCTCTCTCTCTCTCTCTCTCTCTCTCTCTCTGCCCCACCCCTGCTTGTGTTCATTCTCTCTCTCTCTCTCTCTCTCTCTCTCTCTCTCAAAATAAATAAGTTAAAAAAATTTTTTTAATAAAATACAATAATGAAAATCAATGCTCAGAATCATCCCATCCCTTTCTCCCATGTGCGAATGTACAGCTAAAATTCTTCAAGATCCTCTCAGAGATCATACACGTCAATCTACACTTCATGCTGACGAACTATACCCAAGAATATACTTTAAACACCATGCTGTTTTCACTGAAAGACCATATGGACATATATATCATTACATCACTCTGATAGGAAAACTAACATTGATCATGCAAAGAGTTAGCCATAAAATGAGATGGAAGGCAACACAAGTCTAGAACCTTGCTCCTTAAAGTGTGGTCCATGGCATTAGCATCACTTGGGAGCTTGTTAGAAATTTAGAGTTTCAAGCCCACCTGAGACCTCATTAGCAGTTTAACAAGATCCCCAGGGCATTCTTGACACTTCTGAGTTTGAGAAGCACTACTATCTAGAACTTAGCAACCTTTCCTAAAACCCAACTACCATTTGTGTCTTCGAAATTAACACTTTACTTTCACATCTTCTTCCATCAGTAAGTGTATAATTATATGAGGTGAACATACCACCCACATATGGTGGCAGATCTGACTGCTGCTTGAGGACCTTCACACATGCTGTAGAAGGACGTTGCTAACACGGAACTGAGTGTCACCCATATCGCTCTAGATGTGCCCACCTGCATCAGGGTCCATTTTTAATAGACACTTACTGCTGACAATTTCCAGGATTGGAAGAGGAGTACAAAGAGAAAGGAAGGAAGAAGAGGGCATAATTCTAAAACAGAACAAAGATCTTATTTAAGAGTTTTCTACTTGTAAAACTTTAGAAAGAATGCATCATTTCTATGTACTTCACTTACCCTGAAGCAGTTGAAGCCTAAGAGTCCATTCAGGAAGCCAAACTAGGCTCAAAGGACATCACTGTCTCAAACAGTGAACGCAGGTGGTTTGGTCCCAATTCTTCCTTCATAAAAACAACTCCAAGAGCACAGAGACCTGGGGGACCAGGAGCCTCACCTGCTTTTTATGTCTGGGGAAATAACTAGACTCTATATCTTCTTCTGCCTAAGACTTTTTTTTTTTTACCCTCTCCTGATACTCATGCCATTATTGAAATTTAAGAAAGACAAGACAAACCCACCTGGAATCTCCGCATGTCACGTGGATTTCCTGCATTCTTTAGGCAATTTTGGTTACATTTGAGGAAAAATTTCAAGAAGAACCTGTGGAGAAACAAATTATCATGGTTAGCATTTCAGTCCTGACACGGAAGGGGGGAGAAAAAGTAGTAAGCCGCGTCTGGGCTGTGCATTCTATTCTCCGCAGATTTTCTGAAATATTTAGAATGGTGTTAGAGTCACTATTTTGTTTAAAACTTTAGCCTTTGTTTTGCATCCAAGCTGGACTTGTTCTGTGAAAGAAACGCTTTTAGTGCTGCCAACAGATCTCACAAAAGAATTAAGCCCCCAAGGAAGTATTTTTACTCAGACAGAGGGAAAGTCTTCACCGTAATTTAAGGTAGGTTCCAATTGGGTGTAATTGCCTGAGAATTACTCATGGTCCCCAACAACATGTAATTTAAGCCCCGTAAATTAACAGATGATGAACCAGCAAAATGTATGCTGGATGAATATGAGGACATGGTAAACACTTTTTATTTCAGCATCTCCAAATAAAATCGTCTAATTAGTAGTACCCACGAGAAGTAGATAAGATTCACATACTGACTGAAGTCCTTTGACTTCTCAAGTATTTCCTATATGTTTTTCTTATACTGCCTACTATAGACAAAAGCTATTTTGCGAATGAATCAGAACCTCACTGCCACCTTGGTCCCTGAGTTGGTTCTAGGGTGAGATTCATGGGTTTTACTTGCTAGGGTGACCAAAAGTCCCAATTTCCCAGGAACAATCCCAGTTTACACCAGCTATATTACCGTAAATATTATGGTACCCACGTTAACTCTCAAAAGTGTCCAGTTATGGATGATAAATTAGATGGTGACCTTATCACTTATTTCTTTCATTGTAGTTGTTAAAGTCCATTACACAAAGACAGCAGGTATCAAAGATGTACTATTAGGAGATTAATGCTGGCAATCTATATGTTCTTCATTTGCTCATTTTGGGGAAAGAAGCATTTTAAAAGCCACCCTAAGTTCTCCATTCCCTTTTACTTTTAGGCCTACAGATTTCAGGCCCAAATATTTCCCCAAAACACCAGAATGCATTAAAATGCCAGTCAGTTAAATTTTTCCGGCATGTTCTTTTCTTCACCTTTCTCCCACTTCAAGTCACCTTTTCCCACACTGGAGTACAAAATTCCCACCTCAATGCACACAGTCTGTGAAGAACTATCAAGCCATGATGCCTCAGTCTGAATTTAGCTCTGAGCACAAAGTCTATTAACCAAATAACACAGGGGTCCTCAGTAAGGAGAACATAGCACAAAGTCACACGAGGTTTAACTGGTTTCTGACTACTGAACTGAGAGAGGTCCTAGAAGAATCTCTCTCCTCCCCGGTCTCTTAGAATCTGGCAACAGAAGAATATGGTGTGGGAGTAACTCTGAAAAGTGACGATAACTTTGTCAACTAAAAGAACATTTTAAAATACAAACACTTCCCTGAAACGACGCTTTCAACATCGTGCACCATTCAACCACCCATCAATAAAAGGAAACCTCTGAATAATCATTTGCCCCTACTTCCAGGTTCTCTCCATAGAGGCCAAAGTTTATCAACACTTCACACAAGATAAATGACTCGTGGAACACCGCTGAAGCCCAAACGTGTAAAATGGAATTGGGCTCTGGCACCCCTTCCCCAGTACAAAGAACAGCACAGTCATTCCTACCAGCAGTCAGCTGGTCCTACTCAAGTCCCCTTTCAATAGGGCAGACTTGGAAAGAGAAAGACGTTTGAGGGAGTGGTCATAACCCCAAGTACCTCAGCATTGTCCTTTCCTCTGAGCTCTCAGAAGGCAAGAGCTGGGTGGCCCTGTGATCACACATGGCTTTCAGAAGCTGAAATGGTGAAGCTCAGGGAGAGAGAGAGTCGGCCATCTTGCTGGGGTTTAAGCCAAAGGCACCTGAAATGTAAAAACTGGCTGCCTCTTTCAAGCACAGCTGGTTGGAAGGGCATATTTAAAAGCCATGCCAATGGGGCGCCTGGGTGGCGCAGTCGGTTAAGCGTCCGACTTCAGCCAGGTCACGATCTCGCGGTCCGTGAGTTCGAGCCCCGTGTCGGGCTCTGGGCTGATGGCTCAGAGCCTGGAGCCTGTTTCCGATTCTGTGTCTCCCTCTCTCTCTGCCCCTCCCCCTTCATGCTCTGTCTCTCTCTGTCCCAAAAATAAATAAAAACGTTGAAAAAAAAATTTAAAAAATAAATAAATAAATAAAAGCCACGCCAAGCCTCAGGGGAGGACTGATTGCCACGAAACTGACAGTGAGAAACAGTGTGGTACAGAGGAAAAGCCACAGCCTTTAGAAATTCCCGGAATGGGGTTCACATCCCAACTTTGACAGGTACTGACTGCTTGTGTGATTTTGGATAAGTAGGTGAACTTCTCTGCTCCACACTTTCCTTATCTATAAATTGGGTATAAGGACAGTCCCTACCTTATAAGGCAATTGTAAAAATGAACCGTGATAATGCCTGACACATGGTAAGCATGGTGATGGGGCCAGTAATAATAATGGCTCCCATGAATTAGGTGCTTAACATGTTCAGCAAGGTGCTGAGAACTGCAAATACATTTTTCCCATTCAATCCCCCTAAATAACCTCTGCTATCAATCCCATTTTATGGATGAACACATTGAGGTTCAGAGAAGTTGAATAACTTACCGTAAGGTTCGTGAGTCTGGAACTCAAATTTGGACAGAGCCTGTGTCCTTAACTATTATGCTTATAGTAGTTTTAGTAATAACAGAAGTAGTGAAGTACTGATATTAGTGCTAATTATACCATCAACAGTAATTGCACCACAATGGCATTTGTGCCAATAAGTGTACAAATAAGAATAAGTATTGGTATTATTATTTCCATACCAGTAGCATAAATATTGTGGAGGGAGACATCATCGCCATTCTCCCTCCAGTGCCCCCACCCCTGATTCCCCAGGGCTGATAATATTGCCGCGGGTGTGTGTTTTAGACATTTGAGCCCAGACCGACAGCCAGATTCAGGTTGTGTTAGAAGAAGCTGTCAGCACACCCTCTGGCATCTTCAAGTCAGACAACTGCTAGCCACCATGAGGGGGGCCATCTGGTGCCAAAATGGATTTTGAAAGGCAGGCAAACAGGACGCTAGCTCTGCCAGAGAGAAACAGAATCAAGGGAGCAGGGGATCTTCTGCCTTAACGATGAGCAGGGGCGAGGTGCCTGTCAGCAGCCCATCGTTAGCACAAAAGCTATGCCGGGCACACACCGGATCCCTGTTACCCTAAGCTGCCCTGTCACCTGGCATGCTGCCAGAATCTCCTGCCCGCCCTCTCCACAGTGGATCGCTTGCTGAAATTGAAGGCTTGGCCATCTGTCGCAGGGAAGAGACGGCATCAACGGGTGCCTGGGGCCTCACACAAGCCCTTATGTGGCAAAGACGCTCTGAAGGGCCTGTTCTTTTGGGGAAAGCCAGCCTTACCCCAGGGGGAGCCTCAGGAATTCTTTCAAAGTTTCCCCTAAGTACATGCCAAATGCCTGACCCTTTCGGATAGCACTTCCTTAAAGGAACTGAGAGGACTTAGAAGTAGGAGTTAAAAATATCCCCACTGAGGGACAGAGTTAGATGTAGCACACACATTTTGGGGATGATTTATCAGGCTGTTTTTAAGGCATTTGTAAACGGGGGATGCATGCATGTCTGCTGGCCTATGGAGAAGATCTCAGATTCTCAGGGGGCTTTTAACAAAGCGGAGGTTATTGTAACTCAAAACCTCACTTTTGTCTCATGAATTACCACATTTTGTGTGGCGGATATGTTTGATAAAGTGTTGTCAGGAGAAAGAGTGTGACAGCCTTATTCGAACCGTGGGAAATGAACTAGAGACAGGACAAAGCCCCTATTGACCCTGTAGAGTTCCAAGGAGTTCCAGAAACTCCAGGAAACAGCCCAATCAGAACCAAACTCCAGTCTTTTGGGGGGGGGGGGGGGGGGGGGGCGGGGGGCCCAAAAAACCCAACACCTTTCTGGTAACTTTCAATATGAATAATATCATCTTATGTTCATACAGTGTATTATGTGATTCAAAGCACTTACATCTCTAGTATCTCACTAAATCCTCATAGAAGTCCTATAAATTAAGCATGCCAGGAATCATCAACCTATTTAAAAGGAAGAAAACTAAGACTCAACAAAATTAAGATATTTATCTACAGTCAAAACTAAACTCATAACCTATATTGGTCAAAAGACTCCTTATGGTATATGTTTGTTTCCATGAATTGCAAGACTTTCTAAGTGACCTTAACCATCACTTAGTTTCATTGCACATATGAAAAAATTGAGAGATCAGAAGACATGAGAATAGCCACACAGTTATAATAGTTACAACAGCTGGAACTACAACCCACATGTTCTGACTTCTAGTTGTATGATTTTTTTCAAGATAATGTAGCTTTTCAAAAGCCAACCCAGTAAGAGCTCAACAGTTGAGCCATTGAGCTTTTTAGAATACTAAAAATTAGGAAAGTGGTGGTCATAAAACCAAAAGTGACAGCCTATTAAAAGTTGTATTTAGGTTCCTCAGTCAGGCTAATGTACAACATTAGCTCATCACTGAACATTCACTGAACCGAACACACACATTTGTAGAACAAAATTGCTTATTCAATGGTTTACTTGTGTCACATTTTACCAACCAATAGATAGTACATTGGGAATTCTTCTATGTGACTAGCAGAGTACTAGATACCGAAGATACCTCTAGGCTCCCCCAAAAGGAAAATTCTTTGACGTAGCCAACATGTTTTGATCCATCTATATGAGGATGTAAAATAACAACAATAATAAAAATCATCTCTGTATACCCAGAACATGACACAAGACTCAGAACCCAGTGGGTTTTTAGTAAATCTGTTCACCTAAACAGAATCCAGGACTGCCAAGGGATAGAAATGAGAACATTCTACAATAAAGACAACAGTAGAGAATTTTGGACAAGAACTTGGGTTGGAGATAAGATCCCCACGGGTAAATTTCTGCAGTGGCCTTATGAAAACATGAA